TTAGCACAAAGAGCTTTAGAAATATTTAACCAATAATTTAATTACAATATAAAAGAGTTATTGGTTTATTAAATTAATTTTGTAACGATTAAAATCGTTACGGATAATATTTTTATCTTTTTAATATTTATTTGTCTATTAATTTATTGGGAAATAAGTTTAAACGTTTGTGTAACTTTAGAGATTTTAATTTTTGTTTACGAACAAGGAGTTATAGATTTGATCCTTTTTGCTAATATTAATTAATGAAAGGTAATCATGCTAGAGAACATTAATACATTTAACCCTTTATTATGTTTCTTCTTTAAGAGTCCCGGGAAACATATGCTTTCTATATTTGTATCATAGCAATATGTATTTTTATTATTATTTATATTATTTAAATCGGTATAAATATAGAGACTTTAAGATCAATAAAATAATTAACGAACGTAAAAACAACTAATTTATTTTATTAACAAACGAACGAACGAATTAACGAACGAACGAATTAACGAACGAACGATTAAACGAATAACTAATTTATTTTTGGGTAAAAACGTAATTGTCTGATTGTTAATTGATTATTAGAAGTAGTTTGACTTCTAAAAATTATATTTGAGTTTCGTATTGGAATTACGTTTACACTTTTAGACTATATGATAAAAATATTAAGAATATTATTAACTTATTGGCATGCTAATACCTTGATTATTTTTTTAAAGAATAATCAGATTCTGATATTTACTGATACCCCATTACCCAATTTGGCATCATTCGACCAGTAAAAAGAGAACCAATAGATTATATACAAGCAAAGAAAGATGGGACCCTAAATTAGCACAAAAGAATTTCAAATCATGAACGAACATAACAGCTTGATAGCTTGATTGACATAGTGGTGCAGTCTTGCGTTTTTTTTTATTGTATATTTTAAATATAATTAATCATACATCTTTAATAAAACAAACATGACTTAACTATTTAATCATTTCCTTGTATGTGAATGCCTCCATCCATCAAATATTCATGATGGTCATGATTATTAAGCAATATGTTTGATATCATCATTGACATAACAAACAATTGCATCACCCAAGTAGTAATAATACCAAGGCAGTGCAAAAATGAAACTTTTAATAATGTCTGTCTCTGGGATTCACAAAATAAATTATTCTTCCTGATTATCAATTGTAGTTCCCATTTTCCCATTGTGTAGTTCCTTATGAATAAGCATCAGTAATATTTTTTTGATTTAATATTAATGAATTGTACAAAATATAGGTCACACAACCATTAATATTAATATTAATATCAAGAAATCTGTTATTATTAAAAATTCAAATAAATATCATATCAAGAAGAATTTTATTATCATTAAACCATTCTTAGACCTCAATCCATTAGTATTCATTAAATGGAGGCACACTAATTGAGATTCACTGTGTAATATAAATTTAAATTATCAGATAAAAATAAAATTTTAGGAATCGAGTCACAAATCAAATCAAATTGAATCCTGTTTTTTTGAATTTGAATTGAATCAAATTGACTACAGATCAAATCAAATCAAATCAAATCAAATCAAATCAAATCAAATCAAATCAAATCACTCTCAAATTTGATTTGATTTGATTTGTTCAGAGCCTTACCTCTTATAAACTATAATGTTAAAATTATTAATTGACTATGAAAAGTAAAAAGATATAATCATCTATTAACTTGATAAGAATTTTGTAACAAATACTTAAAAGACATACAAGTTCTGCTCCATGGTTTGTTTTCAACAATAAGATATATTTTATATAAAATAAAAGGCAATTAATCATATCAATACATTTATAAACAATAAAAAAAATCAATACACAAAACAAAAAAAAATAGTATACCTCTTGCTATTAATAAACAACATGTTGTCTAAATCAAACTCACCAAACCAAACAACATTCATATTTTCTTACTTTGGACTCTAGATTGTTTTCCAAAAAAAGTCAAAAAAGAAATAATAATGATAACAAACCTTCTTGTACAACATATGCACAATTAAATAATAGTGTGTAATGCAATCAAATAACTTTATTTTATTTTTATTTTATATTTTACAGACATGCCCAAAGACACTAAGAAAATTAAAAATCAAAGCCAACAAAATGATGTTAAAGCCTTGTTCATATAAGTATTATTTTTATTAAAAGAATTATAATGTTAATTATTGTTGTTATTCATAAATTAAACTTTGATTATTCTTAGGTTGACCACAGATAAAGAGAATAAAGCAAGTAAATTTATACTCTTTGCCTGATAAAATTGATTTTTATGATATTAACCCTAATTTCCACTTACAGGAGAATAGAAATGAAACCAGAGTAGAAATTAGAAAGTTGAAAAAACAATTAAAAGCATTGGAAGAAAAACAAGAAAAACAGGAAAAACAGACTTCAGGCAAAGATCTCATAATTCAAATAACTTATTGATTCATTTATTTACTTTTATAATAACTTTTTTTTCCTGTTTTCTTTATCTGCTATATTTATAATTAAGAAACAAAAGAATTGCTTGTTTGTAAATTATTAGTTGGAAAATACAAAAGCACTCTTTTTCTGAGAGGAAGAGGAGGAATATTTTTGTGGAAAGATCTAGAAAAATCCATAAAAAAATATTCAAACAAAATTTTAAATAATGAAAATATAACAATTCTACCAACATTCATTGAAAATTTAAAAATATACAATCAAAATACTTTTGATGCTTTATTAGATAGGTATATGAAAAAATTTAAAAGTGAAGCATTTGAATTCTGGGTGATTCCAAGTATGTTGTCTGTCTAAAATATGTATATGTGTCTATGTTGTTCATTTGGTTTTTATTAAAACATCATTTAAATTTTTTTAATATATCAGTCAGTACAAAAAGAATTTTTCAGTTATTTGAGTTTCAAAAAAGTTACTAAATTATATGGAATCCAAGCATTGACAATATGGTTGGCTCGGTCTAAAGACCTCCTATTGCTGCGCCTCGCGGCCAAATTTCAAAAATAGTGATTTCGTGATTCG